CAAATTAGAAACGTTTGGGTACAAACCGACATTCCAGCTTGTCCAGGAGTGCCTGGCGAGCCAACTGGGCCTCGTAAACCCTGCACGAAAAAAAGAAACATAGTAGTCAGACACCTCCGCATGTCTGAACGTTGTAAAGTCTGAGAAGCGACTCGATATCGTGCTTCAAGACTCTCAGATGAGACTTCAAGATGTGCTGCAGGATTAAAAACGACCACATAATCCAGTAATTAACTTTGTTTTAGGAGCGCATAACGTTTTCTCTAAAGCTAAAAACAAAATATCTAAAGTTATTGAACTTTGACTTCTGAAAGTCTCGAGTTGTCACTTTCTCCACTTTTGTTCCCTTTAACAGAGTTATAGTTTCGATTTTTAACGAAAACTTGGGTGTAACAGATTGGTAATTGGGTATTTCTCTTTCATTTTTCGCAAAAAATTTGCACGCCGCTGGTGGAAATTTATCTATTTATGCATGCCCAACGTTTGACCGCTGTGTGACCCAAAGTACAATCGCTTTATTTCATTGAAAACTGAGCGTTGGTGATCAACTCAGACAGGTAAAACTTTTGCTTAAACTCAGAATTATATCAGATTTAAGCTTCACAGCAGATCAGGCGAGAAAATATCGATGTAAGTGCTGTTCTCCAAGTGAACCAGCAGAATATCCAATATGAAACAGACTACGCATACGGGAATTTGCAAACTTCAAAAAAACTCTTTATCGTCATGCAGCTAACGAACTGCGGGCTCAGTCTAATGGACAGCATTCTCAGTTAAATGACTGATGTAAGTAGAATGGCTCAAAGTGTCTCACCTGATCTCCGCGTTTTCCTCTAAGTCCAGGAATTCCAGGAGAACCATCTTGTCCCTGGGAGAATCATTTTCACATTAGATACTGAAAACGCAACACTAGAAGCAGAAAAACCTGGAAACATGCATAACGCTATTTTGTTTTGCTAAACAAGCAAGAGTACTTAAATTTTAAGACCGCCGAAGACAACTCTGTGTTTTCTAGAGAAAAATCAACCGAAAATCATCCTATCTTAAAGGCAACTTCTCAAAATAAAGTGCACCTTCGGTCCAGGCAACCCAGGCGGGCCAACACTTCCAGGAACCCCATCCAAACCCTACCAAAAAATAAAACAACGCTCTTGATCAGGATTTTTTTTCCACAATTCAAGATTGCATTTCAAAGGTAAGACACCAATTGCGCATTTTTCCTACCGGAGCACCATCGTTTCCGTCAGAACCAGGGGAACCTCTAGGTCCAGTAGATCCCTAAACAAAACAAAAAAAGAAAGATTATTCAATTTCGTATCCTTTTTTCCACATGTTGTTAACCCAAACGGTATTGCCCGAGTTCATCATTGGGTTCTCTGTGGCCCATTGGCAGAGCATCAGAGCGCGGAGGTTTGATTTCGTGTGGGAACCTACATGGTTTTCTTTGTCTTAACTCATGGGAAAAAACGAAAAAACATCTTTCTTTATTCGACCACCAAGCTCAAAATTCATTTGCTTTGTCATTCCATCCACCACAAGGCTGATCTTAGAATCTTAAAATCTTCATTTCTGATCCTAGAAGCTGGACATTTGGCACACGAAATTACAATATGGCCTGACGCAACATCGATTTTTCCGCAGCTCACTAGTACAGTATAAAATCTCAAGGCAGGGGGTTCGATTCCTTTTAGAGAACCCTCATTGACACGTTGTGCCACGCTCAAGACAAAACAAATAACATCTTTCCTCATTAAACGGCCGAGCTCAAACTTGGAAGGGAGGAAATAGGAATTAAGCAATGGACATTCTACTAAGTGGCTCTTCTTGTACAATGATTCTGGAACTTGAAATGATAGTTTAATGTCAAATTCATTTCAGAGAGGAAAACAGGAGGACTAGTAGAAAAATCCTCAGCGCAAGGACGATAACCAACAACAAAATCAACCCACATGCAACGCCCGTCCGAGAATTGAACAAGGGCCACTGTTGTCTATCACCGCTTTTTTATATGACACTTTTAACAATGCTGATCCTTGAAGTACGCATAACACTTGCCATAAATCGACCTGGAAATAGCGTGGTCCTTCAACGAGCTCTCTGCTGCACGTTGGTAAACCATCAAAGATCTGGGTTGTGTTGGTCAAAGAACGGATAACACTGTCCAATGGATAAATCGCCATCCACGAGATAGTGTTAAGAAAAAGTACTGCGTTATCCACGATATAGAACTTTATCTTTGAATAAAGCTATCCACGCTTCGAACAACTGTAACCTGAGGTTTCATTCCTCGTTTCGTTGTTTCACTCCCGTGAAAAACAAATAACATCTTTCTTTGAGTGAGGGTTTTATCAGTACATTGTATCTCGACTGGAAGACTCCTCATAGTTAGTTAAATAATCATTTTAAATCGCCAAAATTCACTTACAGGTTCTCCTTTCTTTCCGGAGGTACCAGTTCTACCAGGAAGTCCTGGGAAACCCTAACACAACAAAAAAAAAAAAAGAATATTATCTTTAATATAGAAACATTTCGAGCAACTTTGAATCGAGTGTCGAATATAATTCAGGATTGCTTAGGTTTTGCTTTGCTTCGTAATGTGATTGGTCGAAAAAACTCGCACCTTTCTTTCAACCAATCAGATTCAAAACTAAAACCGCGTTTTCCCGCGCTTCAGGCAATCTTCTTTTTTTCCTTCCAGTTCTCATTGGCTCCTTATGATATGTTCCTTTGCTCTGATTGGTTATTATCATTTCTGTAGTTTTGGTTTAACGACACTTAGTCGAAAAGTGTTCTAACAAAAAAAGAGTATGTTGATAGTCTTTTGGTTTCACTAAATATCAGGTAATTACTACTAACGCTGTTTGATCTGCTATTTTAAAATAAACAGCGGAGGTAAAGAAGCTTGCTTTGAGTTTGGTTAAAGACGCTTTGTGATTGGTCAAGAAAACTGACTCCATTCTCTAATCCAATCAGATTCAACAGTAAAGAAGTTTTCTATTCAACGATAAATATTGAAAAAAAAAACAACACCAAAACTTTTTCACCTGAGAGATTTCGAAATTAATTATCTTCTCTGTCTGATAAACATTGTCATGATTTAGCTCTGAGAAATTGGTAAAAAAAAATAGTGTTGCCTTGGTCGTTTTATCTTCTTATAACCTTTCTGTTTACAATAACAACATACCGGTGATCCAGCAGCGCCTGTCGCTCCTCGCTTCCCATCCGGTCCTTTGTCTCCCTTAGAAGAATTGAATATTGAAGTTTAACTTAAATCATTGAAGAACAAACATTACTGTCAATGCTGTTGCATTAGTGCAAGTTCTAACGTTCCTACGCATTACGTTCCAGTTTCTTTCGGAACAGCGTGTCAGTTGCGAGTCATGTATTAAAAATCGAACTGCGGCGTTCAGATGCTAAATTGCCTCGATTTTTCTCACACCTAGTAAAAAGAATTACTTCCCCTTACCGGTATGCCATCATCCCCACTCAATCCATCGTCTCCAGCCATTCCAACTGGGCCCTGAAAACCACCAAAACAAAACATAATTATGACAGAGGTCTTCGTTTACAGACCTTTATAGTTTCGGCTCATCAGATCATCAAAACAAACAAGCGTCATAAGTCGAGAAATTATACCGGTACGCCAACAGGGCCTGGCTCTCCAGCTTCTCCACGGTTACCCTACAAAATAAATCATAACCTAGGACAATTAGTCACCACACTAACGAATGCAGAAATTAAGGAATTTCACCTCAAAGAGACTGTTACGGTGAGAACAATCCAAGCACCGGAAATACAAATCGAGAAGTAATTTTTACAAAATAATGGTACCGTGACCTTTGAGAACTTTCTATTGACTAAAATAACAGTGAAATTTCACAGCATTTTTCTAGAAAGCTCAGCGATCTGAAGCAAATTGTGGCTTTAAAACATAAACTGGAATAAACCCTAAGGCAACAGTCTTTTCTAGGTACAGAAGAGTAGAAGCGTTTGAGAAAAACGCGCCTGTAATTTGTGATTCAAAGAAAATTCTTCTCACCGCTTCTCCTGTCCTTCCATCTTTTCCTCTCTCACCTCGCACACCCTGTACAAAAGAGAAATTTTAAAGAATAGTGATGAGATGTTGCAGCAATGTTGAATATCACAAGAAAGTAAACGTCTGTGACATCTTAAGAGGTTGGAAAGGGCATAACTCACGGATAGCAAAATTTTTCAGTCCTTAATTGTGATCAAGCTTTTTTATCTAATTCGAACGTTACTCTTCTCTATTGGAGAATATTTTTCTCCTCATCCCCTCAAAATCCTTTCTTACATCAAGTACAATTTCCTTCAGTTTGCCTCTCCTTCAACGCCCGAAGTTGAGTCCTAAGATTCTTCTCTGGAAAACTTTTCTGCTCTCCGAATGTACTTTTTAAACAAGTAATTGTAAACATGTCCCAATTGTTCTACACACCTGTCCCATGCGGGGCAAAATTACTGAATGCAGATTGGCGGAGACAGAGGGCATTTTTTCTTAATCACGAGGTTACTTTTGGTAATCAAGAGGGCATGATTACTTAATGATGATTGAGCCTTTTTGCTGTTTGCGGTAACGATTTATTTAATGCAATTTAACTAAACGAAGCCGTGTGACGTTGTCAACTGTATTTTGAGAATAAAATGTTCATTGAATCTACAGGTCAGTTACGTTTGTTTTGAAAGGGCTTTATCGCGCGGACATCGTGCGCAAATGCAATTCCCTCAAAAAATTTGTCGTTTATGTGATAAACAAGTAATCGCAAGTGCCCGAGGGCAATTAAGGATTAATTTCACTTGTATTTTCAAAGTCTTCCCAAAATTGCCCAAGTTGCGAAGCGAAATGACGAGGCAATTTTGAGAAAACTTTGAGAATTTATCCTTAATTGCCCTCGAGCCCAAACCATTACATACACTAACTCACCGGATTTCCAGTGTTACCAGGCACACCAGTTGGTCCTGTTTTTCCTGTGGGGCCCTACAATAGAAACGGTAAAAGTCACTTCCTGTTATTTTCCTGTAAACTACATATTTGTTAGAAGCACAATAATGTTGTGTAAAGGCTACAAGCTGGTAACCAACCCATTAAAAAGAGAAGATAAACCACTACAAGCTGTTATTCAAACCATGTGATTCATGCACTTATGGTTTGACCTTGTGACGCTCACGTATCATGGCCCTTGGCTTACCTGTCCTCCCAGAGGTCCTTCCAGACCCGATTCTCCTCTTTCTCCACGACGACCCTGAAGTGAAACATTCATTACTCAGTCAGTCCTAAAAATAGTTGACCCATTAACCAAGGTATAAGAGCCAGTATTTTATTATCAAATTAATTCTCTCGCGTAAATAAGGATGAGGCCCTTAGAGTAAATCAGAAGGCAACTTTGCAAGGAAGTACCCACCTCTCTTCCAGGGTTTCCCGGCTTTCCTTGTTGACCTCTTGCACCTCTGTTACCCTGGTGACAAAAAAGTATTCAACTTCAGTAGTGAGTCAGCTATAAGACAAAATGCGAGGGGACTAAGAACTAAATGAAGATAAAATTAAAACATTATATCAGAGTTTTACTTAAGCATTTAATTGCACTTCATTTTATACAGTTAATCTGACCTTCATTCCTCTAGAGCCAGGGCTACCAGGAGCACCATCTCGACCTGAATTGCCCTATCAACAAAAAAACACACCATATCAGTGGAAAGCGAACGGTAGACAGTGGATGGTGGGCCATGGACAGTAGACAATAGACAGTGGATGGCGGATGATGGATAGTGGAGTGGATAGTGGACAGTAAATGGTGGATAGTGGACAGTAAATGGTGGATGGTGGACAGTGGGTAGTAGACGATGGAGAGTGGACAATGGACGGTGGAGAGTGGATAGTGAACGGGGGATAGTGGAAAAGTCCATACCTGTTTTAAAAGAAACTGAAAAACGACCATGGAGTGGATGGTCGGTAGTGGATAGTGGACAGTGGGTAGTGGATGGTGGACAGTGGATAGTGGATAGTGGACAATGCATGTGGACAGTGGGCAGTGGATAGTGGACAGTTGACAATGGACAGTGGATGATGGACAGTAGACAGTGGATAGTAGAGAGTGGACAGTGGATAGTAGACAAAAACTAGAAGAAAATGCGTGATGGACAGTAGACAGAGGCTAACAAACATTCAACTCAGAACAGAGGACAGTAGCTAGCACAAAATAAATGGTCGATAATGCCCACTGCATTTAAGAAATGCATCTTCTTTAAATCTTGAGTTGTATTTCTAGTACTCACCATGGATCCTTTGGCTCCACTGAATCCTGGGGCACCTTGTGCACCGGAAGGGCCCTGAAATGAAGAAAGGAAAAACACATGTAAAATGAAGAACTGATCTAACACACTTATGATGTAAAATCAAAACTCAGACATTTCATGCCCTATATTTAACAATACCACAACTTACTGCTACCTTCCAACTGCCAGCTGAGATTAGTAATGAATTACCATGCAACAACTGGATTATAATATTACTCCTTTAATCATATCCATTCCAATTTCCACAAATGTGATTTGTACATCCACTAATTAATTTTCACCTATTAAACTGTTGAGTTGTAATCAGACTAATAAGACAGTTGACTGCATGTTTAACAGACACCTGTAATTTGAGACATCTTACCAAATACCTGTAATTGGACGGTTAGAACAGCCAATCATACTAAGTCTACTCAGCCCAATCCACCAATCACAGAGCTGATAATAATAACTGTAGCAACAAGACTGGGGAATTTCAAAAAATCAGAATCCTGCTTGAGTTCATGCAATTTTGCAATATCTTGTATGATTTAAGACTGAATTGGACCACTTGGTCCAACTACCACTATTTAATTACAGGGTTCTGTGCAGCACACATATGCACTAACATCAATTTTTTTCCTTTTTTTTTTCAACTTTGCCACAAAGAAGGGACTGCTCATAGCCTACTCTTGCCAAGGTGGAGTGGAATGACTGAGATGCATGCTTTCAATTCAAACGACAATGGGGCAGCTCTTTAGAAGATGTCTCTCAAAAACGTAGTTATTTTAATACTCACGGGAAAACCTGCTGAGCCTGGTCGGCCATCATCTCCAGGTCGACCCTGAAAACATCAACAAAGGAATTAAAAAACTACATATTTCATACTTGTCAGCATTTTAACCATCCAAGTTGAACTTGTGCAGCAAGTCTCAGCTTTTTTTGCGCTCTACTGCAACTCATTTCTCTTTGATATCGATGATCTACAGAGACTAAAATAGATTCAAGAAGAGCGAAATTCCTCACTAACTAGTAATTATGTTAAGAATAGTTCTAATCAGCAAATATGCCTGACAAAACGTACCGGTGCTCCAGTATTACCAGGTCTTCCAGGTTTGCCAGCTGGACCTTGAGATCCCTGTGAAGATGAAAAAAGTTATAGAACAGGCAAGATAACAATGCCAGAGAATCTTCTCCATGCACCCAGATTACTTTTTAAATTTTTTTTACATTTAGGCAACATACCCTCACGCCTGCCCTTCCTTCTTCACCAAAATCACCTACATTTCCCTGTAAATCAAAAATGAACATAGATATAGATATAGAAATATTTAACTATATACATATATAAAGAAAAGGTAGATATATTTAAAATATATTTCCAAACTTGCATATACATATATACAGGTATAATATATACAGGTATATATATATGTCTGTTTTAAAAATGTTGCAAGTTTAGAAATATATTTCAAATATGTCTACCTTTTCTTTTCCCATCCCAAAGAGACACTTTGATAAGAAAACAAAAAACATATATATTCAATATATATTTTCAAAGTTGCAATTTTTTTTGAAAACAGGTGTAGATATATAAACATATATATCATTGGTGAATTTTCCTCCTAGAACAAAAATTTGTGGAAATGGTCTTTTCAATCCATAGTGTACAAAATTTCACTTCCAACTGACAATAGACTTCCCTGAATGATCAGGTTTGCTTACCATTCATGCAACAAAAACAAAATCTATAAGAGTAAATGCAAATCAGGATTTTCCTGAACTAGGTGATGATACCTTGTTCAATTCATAAATATCACCATCCCAAAAATGAAAGTTAAATTCATCCAGTTAAATTACTACTGACTGTTTCTAAACATTGTCTTCATTCAAGTGTTTTGTGAAAATACTGGAAAAGTGTCCTCATGACATGTTTTAATGATACAAAAAAATTCCAAGATTATAAATATGCCTTCAAAATCAATGTCATTTGACAGACCTGGTCACCTTTGGCTCCTGGCAAACCATCAGCACCTGGAGAACCTTGGGCACCCTGTGATGATAAGACAAGATATTAACTACTGTAAATCTAATAAATAATTAGCCAGTGTTTAAACAATTTCTCAGCTTATAATAAGGTTGCTAATTTTAAAGATGCAGATGAACAGCATGAAAACAAGGAAAAATTAAAACAAACTCCAAGCAATATCTGAGGAAAATTTATGATTCACAAAATATCTCTTACCCTTTCACCTGCTCTTCCTTCTGCTCCCCGGTAACCAGCTTCTCCTTGGTTGCCCTGTGTCACAGCAGGACATGAATAAATAAACAATATATTTTAATTCCCTTGATTTTTTGATGTCACATTTAAAAATTCTGATTGGCTCTTCTTGAGGGTCACATGAACCTACTTTGATCCCCTTTCAAAAAAGTATTTGGGGTTCATTTACATACTTAGTAACTTCATTGAAACTTTTTTAGATAAAAAGAAAAATCTCTCTCAACAAATTTTTTTTTTAAAAAAGTTCTGCAATTGCAAAAAATGTCTTTCACAACAAGTTCTGAAAATAAATTTATTTACATAGCTTGAGGTTGGCCTTAAATCTGTTGTTTTGTTTTTGTTTTTTTTTTTTTGGTCTTTTTCCCTTTTATGGCAATCAGCTTTGTCTAATCGATCAATTAGGATCTCCCAAAACATTGTAACCAATAACCATTTGGCTTCACCCCTAGCCAGAATTTATTATTATTATTATTATTATTTTAATATCAATAAATAATTAATACAAATAATTATTTGATTCATATAACCTGTGCTCCTGCTTCACCCATACTTCCTCGCTTTCCTGGCCTTCCTTGTCTACCCTTAAATGAATGAAATCACAAATTTTTAACCTCAGAAGTGACTTGTCAAAACACTAAAATCCTTAAATTTATATGCATTGATCATACCTTCCTGCCTGAACGGCCTCTAACACCCATGGCACCAACATTTCCCTTAGTTCCCTGTGGAAAGAAAAATGAAAAAGATCATCCAATGAATTCTTACTTTTCCAAGAAACAATGAAATGCTTATAGGCAATTGAGTATTTGTCAGTCTTTTCATGCAGTTTAGTCAGGTATGTAGACAAAACAGCTTCCAATTAGATTAAGATTACATGTAGAGACTTAAAAAGTTCAACACAAAAGATTTTTCAAAGAGGGAAGCTCATCAAAGAGCACCAGCTCATTAGAGAGGATGGTTTTATAAGAAGGGAGATATTATAAAAAAGAGGTGTTATAAACAGGGGATGTTTTAGAAAGGGAGGTGTCAAAAAAGGGGCTTAATAGACAGGAGGCTTATTCAAGAGACTTATCATCAAAGAGCAGTGCTCATCAGAGAGGGAGATTTTATAAATAGGGGGGTGTTAAATAAAGGGGTGTCATCGAAAGGGGGGTGTTATTGAAAGGAGGGTTATGTAGGGAGGGGGGTTTACCATACAGGAGGCTTATTTAAGAGACTTATCATCCAAGAGCAAGGCTTATTAGGGAGGGAGGTTTTATTAATAGGGAGTGATAAAGAAAGGGGGTGTTATAGAAAAGGGAGTGTCATAGAAAAGAGGGTTATGTAGAGAGGGGGGTTTACCAGACAGAAGGTTTATCTGAGAGACTTATCATCAAAGAGCAAGGCTTATTAGAGGGCAGCATACAAGTATATAGGAGTGAGCTTTTAAAGAGGGTGCATATGGCTGATTATGGAGGGGGGTATGTCAGAGAGGGAACCTTTCTCGAATTGGGGGGCTTCTTAGCATAGATACATGGCAATTATTGGAAGTGGCTCATCATAATGGGGTTATTCAGGAGAAGGACCTATAAGAGTGTTTACATTAAAGATATGGTCCAACAACACTTACTGCGGAACCCTTAGCTCCTGGTGAACCTCTTGGTCCAGGGGGACCAGGTGCTCCCTGTCAATAGATCAAATACAAATAATCTGACATCTAGATTATTAAGCCAACTAATTGTTCTGAACATGAAAGTAAGTCATGTTTAAATGAATCGATGAGTCCTGACTCCAGCTTGAATGTAACTTTTGAATGAGTTAAGCCAATCTAGACAAATATTGAAGGACATGTGGAAGAAAAAGTTTGTACCTCAAAAACCAAGTTACCGAGGACGGGGTTCATATTGTATCAATTAAAGGTGAAGTATACCCCAAAACTTACTGAGAAAATTCCACGTCATGCAAAGAAATCATCCTTGCAGATGTACTGCAGTTGAAACAATTACCGAAAAGAAACCTGAACAAATTCAGGCCTAGACAGACACATTCAAACCCATACCTCCCAGATACTAGCTGGTGCTACTTCAAAGCTACAAAAAGCCACATGCTAGAAGCAAGGGAAATTTCCATTGCATTTCACCTGCAGAAACCATTTCTTTTTTTGAAATTCATCCATAGGTCAAAAGAAATTAATTTCATAAAAAAATTGTGAAAATTTCATATTTAATCAATTCACTTTGCCAAAGACTTACATGTACTATATAAACAATGCACAAAGGATGATGACTGCAACAAAAAATTTGTAAAATATTAAAATCTTTGAAAAGTTTTCAAAAAAAACTTACCGAGTCTCCCCTTCTTCCAGGTGGTCCAGCTGACCCAGGGGTTCCCTAAAAAGACAGCAATGAGAAGTCCACAGTTAATGTTACATATTAACTGTGCTATAAATAATCACACTTTTACAGATGCCATACATATTCATTCTTATAAGTTATTATCAGTATGTTGTAGAAGCACTCCAAGAAAAATCTAATGTTGCCATTTATTTTAGGCCAGAGATGAAAGTCATTCAATTTCTGTAACAACAAAACTGAACCCTGGCCTTTGTTTAAACCCCTGCAACCATTACACCACACACATGTGGTGTCTCCTAATGACATGAAGAGAGGTACCCACAGATACAGTTTTCATTTAGCAGCCACCCACTAGGAAAAAGAAGCCAAGTTTTGCAATAAAACAAGTCTAAATGATAAAAAATTCTGACAGAAGGGAGATCAACAATGTAATCAGTACATACTGGTGCTCCTTCTTGTCCGCTTTCACCAACCAGTCCCATGGGTCCTGCCGCTCCCTGTCAAAAGAGTAGTCACAATTAATACTGATCCTTCAGATCTGCTGTTTGGTGCTGGTCTTTCAATTCTTTTTTCCTCATCGGCCTTCCTGTTTGTCAATCCCTGAATCAAGTATTTTCTGACAATTTAGTGACGGCATTAATTACCACTACTTTTACTCACAACACACTTCAAGTGTAATTTAACACCCTAGTTTTTTAAAATTAAAAAAAAAAATCCTTGTAGCCAAGTTTTGCCTGTACTTAATTATTTTAAACATCTTACAACCACAGCGACCAGTATTTTAATTACCATATCACCCTTGTAGCCTGGTCTTCCCTCTGCCCCAGGCAGTCCTGCTGCTCCACTATCTCCCTTAGGTCCTTGCACCCCATTTTCTCCTTGCGCACCTGGTCGGCCAGTTGGACCAGCATGTCCTGGGGCACCTTGGTCACCTTTAGCACCGGGGGCTCCACTACTACCCCCATTTCCAGTCTCTCCTGGAATACCCTTTGAAGAGAATCAAACAAACATTGCTTGGTTTATTTGCCACAATTATGCCACAAGGTCACATCTTTTAGAGATTTAACAGCCAAAATCAGTTCCTATTAAGAGATTTCAACTTAGAAAGTATTATTGAAGAGGTGTAACCTAATTATAATTACATGGTTTATAACTAAGCAGTATAGTAAATGACAGGGAAAAAGGAAAGAAGTTTACTTACAGCAGATCCCTCTAAGCCTGGTGTACCTGCGGGTCCAGTTGGTCCCTATAACAACACAAAAGAGAAAGATTGCTTCCACAACTACATACACATTAGCAGCAATTCAGGAGAAGAGAGTGAAGGATATAAATGATCACCAATTTAAGAAGCTCCTGATTGTTCAACAAATTCTCCTTGTCAGTACCACAGGAAATGCAAAGAGAATGGTTTGGAGAATATAAATATAATGTAAGGCTGTAAAGTGTTAGCCCTATGATTTTCATTTAAAACTGCTCCAGGACTCTTATCAGATGTTATCAGTGACAAGTTAGGATCATGAAATTAGTTTTAAACAAGTTATGACTTATGGAAAAATTACATCTTTGTGGCTGTCAAAAAGTTTAGGCCAAGGGATTGAACTCATTATCAGAACAGCCACAAGTGAGCACATGGGCTAACACAAGAAGTCAGACCACTCCATACAGTAAGGGGCTTTATTTAGGACAAAAATAATTAACTCTAGGATTTTGAAACAACTACAAGATAAAAACACAAATTAAAATTTGACTTACTTGACTTCCTGTTTCCCCTGGCTCCCCTGGTCGTCCTCTGGGGCCTTGGGCACCCTAGTGAAGAAAATAATAGAACATTTTGTGCTCACTTGAGGAATTCTTAGAAGTTACATAATCTGCAGCAATTTCACTAAGGCTTGTACCTGGATATACTCTAACTAGGGCTCAAATAGCCTTGCCCTCTCCCCACAGATAGTCCAGAATATATATAATTATATATATCTATAAGAAAATTTTGAAATTCTTCCATGCTTTTTCACATATTTTGGAGCTGAAAATAACATGGCTTGCTTCAGTTACCAAAAAATTGTCAATTTTTAAGATAACTGAGACATGAGTTGATGTATAAATCAACAGATAATTATAAGTTCTCTAATACAAATACTTTTACTTGTAAAATACCTTCATTTTACACCTTCAAAGTTAATTGATTTTTAAGAGGATTCTTGAGGAAAATATGAGATATAAATACTATTCATTATTCTTTTGGTTGAGATTTTGAAGGTAATCAGCTAAGCAAACTCCTCTTCGCAGCCACCAATTTACCCTTTCCCAACCCTGAATGAAATTCCTGAATTTTACAGTAGTTAGGAAACACCATCAGAAATTAATCCCTACAGTTTTTTGTCTTCTTCTTTTTCTGCTAGCTTTTTTCCTTTTTTCTTTTTGTGTGTAATGTGTGCTCATGTGTGGTACCTGACCCTTCAATATAATAATTTATTAATAACCTACGGAAGGCTGCCCTATCTTTTTAGCCCCGAATGGTTATTATGGGCTGCCTGAACCCAGGTAAAAATATAAGGTGGGATCCCGCCAATCCCACCTGGGATCCCAGGTGTGTCCCAGGTAGGATCCCGCCTTTTTCTGGTGGGGTTAAACCTAGAATCCCACCAATCCCTCTTGGGCTCCTGCCTCAAATTTCAGATAGTTTCCCACCTAGGAAATCATATCCCAGGCAGGATTGTACTTGGGATCCTGCCAAGCGACTCTCTCCATTTTTCATGAAATATATTTTTTTAGTTTTATGTAAAGTAATGTAGGGTAAAAATAAAAAGTTGTTTTTGTTGCAGACATTCTTCAGGTACTTACAGGTGCTCCATCAGCACCAGGCCTGCCATTCTCACCACCAGGTCCCTACAACATTACCAAAATTATCAATCATCAGTGGAGAAATTTAAAGATAAAAGTGAAATTTAGTAAACATAACAATTTCAGGAAGTCTAGATATACCACAAATAATAAGCAGAATTTATTACACTTTGACAAACTTTGACCAATGACTTTCAAACCACCCTTCCCCCTTCCTCATCTCTTACATTCCTTTCCCCCCCTACCATGCAGTCTTTGAAAATAAGAATGTCATGAAAAACTCCTCTTAAACCATACAGTGTACAGTTGGATTCTCTGCTACCTGAGCAACATCAAAAATACTTCTTACATCATTTTGATTCAATACTGTAACAATACACCATTTCCATTAAATACCTCTTGACAACTCTTTACAGATCATGCAAATTAAACATAATTTATTTACCGTTGCTCCAGGGCTACCCTGTTCACCTGGGTCTCCCTGAGTTCCTTGTGCTCCCTGGGAAAAAAGTCATCATAATATCAAGATTCCAGGACTTCAAATTGCACCAACTTCAAACCCTTTCATTCCAGATATTTCAAGATCAATTCTCCTTACTGTGTAGTCTACATACATGTCTTATAGCCTTAATTTTGAAAACTTTATTGCTTGAGTTAAGCAGATTTCCAGGATTTTCTACAACTTGTAGTCTTTCTCCAGGACTTTAAAAAATGTCAATGAAAATTAAATTCCAGAACTTTCCAGGTTTTCCAGGACCCATAAAAAACCCTTTAATATATAAAATGTCAATGCAACTGATGTGTGTGGAAAAGGAATTCCTTCTATGTAAACTTACAGACTGCTTGAATTATTTTTTCCTGAATCCACAAAGAGGAGTTTCAGTGTGAAGGATGTTTGTGTAAAAGTCAGAAAATTCTACTCTTACTACCCAGAATTCTGTGGCTAAATTTCAGTGGCTCGTTGGCAGAGATGTTTTAATTTGGAAAATATTTTCCAGTTGCTTTATTTTTTATTCTGTGATCACATTTCCTGATGAAGACCCTGACTTCAATGTTCTTTTTAGTAATTTACACAGAAAGAAACTATTGGTCAAACAAGCTACATGTATACAAACTTATTTTTCTTGAAAAATACGTATCAGAAACAATAATGAGCATTATATTCAGGCACATAGATTAAAAAAAACCCTTCCAGAAACTTACACGATCTCCTTTAATACCAGAAAGACCAGGGACGCCTGGAACACCTGGGGGTCCCTGATAGTTAGGTAAGATTACAGTGAAATTCATAAGTATACACAGTAATATGATATCTCTGGAAAAGTTTGAAGAGGAAAGTTGAATGACTAGAAGAAGCTGTTATTAAAGAGTGAAATGAGGAATATATCTGTAAGAAAAGGTGGAAGGTGCAGTGTGGATTGAGCATGGGGAACATGGAGTATATGAATGAAGTGACGGAGGAAGATGGAGAGCAAAGATGTGTGTGTGCATGTCATGTGAAGTATGGAACAAAACTTGCTCAATGCATGATGCAGATTGCATAATGCATCATTTAGAACATGGAATGTAGAATCATCATCTTTGGTAAAAAATTTGCATGAATATGAGGAGAAGTAGCAAATAAAATATGAATGTAAAAATGAAGACAACAAAATTATTAATTGATGGTTCTAGTTATAATAGCCTACAGTAGATCTGCAAAATCTTGGGACTTCCCCAAACAGAAAACCAATTTAAGAACTCACTTACACACAACAAGGAACTCAAGAAGAGCATTCACTCTAACGATACAATTATTGCAATGCACAGATTGCACAGCTTTTGTTTTCAATAAACATTTCAATCAACAAACAACTCAGTACTAAATTCACACTCCTAGAAGAGACCTGGGTGGCTTTTAAACAGTAACACAATGAAGTTGAGTTTTCTCCTGTTTGTTTGATCTTTATAGCAAAAGTGTTTAATTTCCACCTCATTTGTGCTGAGTGGACCTTTATTATTCCTAATAAAACAAGAACAGCATGTCCTTATAAAAAGCCTTGGAGGTTCCTTACAAAATTGTCGAATGGTACAAATTTTTCTGTAGACTGAGGTTAACCCTTTAACTCCCGTGAGTGTCCAAGACAGAATTTCTCCTCACAATATCAATACAATATCAACCAGATAAGTGATGAGAATAAAGAAAAATATCAATTTGGGAATAATTGCTTGATCCAATACTAAATTCTCTGAACTAACATTGTAAGAATTGTATGGTTGACAGTAGGGAGGATTGAAAATTTGACCTGGGAGTTAAAGGGTCAACTGATAACCAGTGGACTTCACTGCATTTCCTGAAGAAGACTTGCAATATGAAGGCAATCTACACCAAGAGTGATCACTCATAGGACATGTTAGTTATACTTTAAAAATGAAACATTATCAAAGGTTCATCTTACACTTAGTCCCGGTTCCCCAGGGTCCCCGGCATTTCCTGGAGGTCCTGGTACACCCTGTAGTTTGTTAAAATAACAAATGTTAATTAAAGTGAATTCCAATAATGATATTAAATGATGGTTTTCAGTAAGACTTAAATTGAGGATCCCCAATAGGTTTTTCTGGCTTCTGGATTGGGCTCATTTGAAGGCCCAGATCCTGGAATTTAGAGCAGAAAGAGAGGAGATGCAGGATTAATTTTTATCATGAATGGGACAGTCAGAATCAGCAATTTCAAGGAGTGGAATTTGGGAAATAATCAAGTATGAAATGATCTGAAGGTGCAATCATTAGAAATTATTCCACAAATGATATTATGATCTAAAGGAAAATTTCTGGATACAGCACCAAGTAGAGAGAAATATCTTGAAGACGGAACTCCTGGTGACGTGAACTATAAGTCTGGAGTCTAACATCTATGATATCATTCCAGAACTTGAAATGAGTGAGCCACAAAGGTGAATAGCATTGCAGCCTCCTACACAACAAGGTCATCAAGTTGCAGTCTTGTGCTTAAAAATTAAAATTAACTAGCCATGTGAACCATTATATACCGTTGCAACTGAGAAGACTGTGGTTGATGTTTGTTTGTTTTTTTTTTGTAGGTATACCTATTGTGCATGCATGGACAGTTTAACCTTTTGACCCATAGAGTGACTAGCATCAAATTTCTTTGTACAATATTACCCCTGAATCACATTAGTGCACAAAGCATTTTCTGTTTCATCACTCACAGAAACTGTGTTACAGTACTTACATCTGCTCCATTCATTCCTGGTTCACCTGGGCTGCCGTTTTTACCTACTTTTCCCTGAGATTTAATTCAAAATAACAACATCTTTAGTCATTAACCCAGCTTGAGGGCCATGCTGGGCAATACTGGCCCAAGATTGTGGCAGTATGGACCAAAAATGACCAAGGCCCAACTTTCACCAGTACACCACAAGCAGATAAGGTTGCCTATAGTTCCTTTAAGCCCCTAAGAGTAACTGTTTAATTTCTTTATCTATATATCACCAATATGTAGTCAGAATTATCATTGCAAGGCAATTAGCCACAAAAACCAGCAAGCTGTAAAACCATTTTGAGATGGCATCTTTTTTAATTGTGATCAAAGACAGACAATAAGTGTTTTATGAACTGAATCAAAGTAAGGCTGAAAAAGGTTACCACTATTCAAATGTGCCTCAGAATGCTTGATATCACCTCTCAGAGAATTTCAAATACCATTTTTTTTTTTGGGAGGTGGGAGGGTGGGGTGCATACCCCTGGACCAACCCTCAAAGGGTGTGTCCCTTTGCAACAAGTCATCTTTCCAGCACAAGTACAATTCAATAAAGCTGCCCACTCAGGTCAGGTCATTGCTTTATCACTCATTGGCAACAGATTCATACACTATAATCGGTCAAAACATCATTTCTTAACCATTCAACAACTAACTTCTCCTAACAGCATCACAGTTACAGTAGATCAAATTTATGGTCAGGAGAATAGAGGAATTGATCACATGTGAAACTCACTGCTTGGCCATTTACTCCAGGTGGACCAATCTGTCCAGGAGCTCCCATTTCTCCCTGAAAAGAAAGAGCAGTAAATGTGGCTAACATTTATTTCTGTACAAGGTATTCCAGGTTTCAAAACTTTTGAAATACACAGTGAACATGCAATTTGGAAGTAAAATGATCATACATGATACAACGGGTTCAACAAATGGGAGGAAAAGGGGATAAAAAATTCCCCACTTCCCCATACCCTGCTCTTCTCTTCCCATCCCCCCACTGCAAAAATAATACACTGAGATTAAAAACAGTATCAAGAATATCTTACTATACTGATGTCTGAGTGTAAAGGGTTTAACCTACCTGTGGCCCTGCTATACCAGTAGGTCCTATTGAACCACTGGGACCCTGAAAATTAATCCAAAAAGTCACTTAAAAAATTGTAAGTGATCATAGACCACTTTACCATTCTAAAGCCTTTAGCCCCCAGAAGTGATTAGCATCTAACTTATGCCTATAATATCCATACATTGTCCAACAAACAGGTATTACAACATAGCTAGTAAATTTGTGTAATCAAATTCAATTGCACAAGCGTGCCTCATATTCCTATTATGCACGCTCATGACGTCAGCAAAAAATCCCTCGAGAAAAAAATTTTCCATTGGGTCAAAAATGTTATAAAACAATTGGTTCATATGTCAGCTGTGTGTTCATTGAGATATGAAGCACTTGGGAAGTTTGGAAAGCACTCAAGAAGCTAGAGTTGCTCTCGGATATGCCTCAAGCGTTACAACCGTACAAGGTGCTACTTTTAACATGCGTGGTCAACTGTACTGTGGGCACATCAATGCCACGGCTTTGTTCAGTAGTCCAGTGGTCAGTGCACTGGGCTCCAAGTCGGACGACCCGGGTTCTAGTCCAGGCTGGGGCAAGGCATTGTGACCTTGAGACGTGCAGGAAAAAAAAAATGCGAACTCCGCTTTTAGGCTTGGCTAAATCTATATATTATCCAGAACACAAGTGAATAGGAAAGCAATACATCAGTTGGTTGGTGTGATAATACATTGACTTCTCTCAACAACTTTACCAGGCTGCATATTTGAACATGAGAGGAGAATCACTATGACAATCATGACACCATAACTTACATCTGCCCCTTTTTCTCCTTTAACTCTTCGAATTATTCCTATTGGTCCTTTGGCATCTTGGTTATTACTTATCTTAAAAGATACAAAAAAATTAAAAATTAACCCATTAATTATAAATATTACCCATCAGGCTGTGTCTAAAAGACACACTGGTGCACTGAAACCAAGTAGTCCATCCAGCCACATGCAGTTTACCTGTGGCATGAAGCAATTAAGCATTACTACTCCCCCTGAATGGGATGCAAGGTTACTCCACTCTCCTTTCTCTCCCCCCCCCCCCATTTCAACATGATCCTCTGACAATCCAGCGGCTCCCGTTTAAACTCATTGGTGGAGAGAGCCACTGTGTCAAGAAATTTTTTCAGAAAGCATTCAAAGGTTACAAAATTTTTGCATGTTTGAAAAGACAAAAATGAGTTCAACATTGAATAATTTATCCTAACTTCACTTTCAGTTGAAAACCTATACATATAAACATGCACTATCTAAGTGGTTAATAGTTCATGAGATGCAAGGTTACCCCACTCTCCCCTCCCCCCATTTCAACATGATCCTCTGACAATCCAGCAGCTGCCATTTAAACTTGAGGGTGGAGAGAGCCACTGTGTCAAGAAATTTTTTCACCATAATTACATCCACAATTAAAAACTTCAGATAAAAAAATTTGACAAAATCACCATGAAAAAAAAACTGATTCTATAGACCTCTGACTAATCAAGTATGATGTCAGTAATGTAAGTTGCAGACCAAGTTTTTTTTCTGCTCGAACTACTGGGTTGGCCTGGGTTGAGTTGCACCAAACCAAAGATAGTCAGTCCTTGTGTTTTGTTTTAAGAATGCAGCTCTTGGAAAGTTATGGCACATAGTTGTTAATCTATTCTGCCCTCTTTGCATGTGCCTACAAGTTTCTGTGTTCCTTAATATAACCAAAAAGGGGAAAATCACACTCAGCTACTTCATTTCTTGTGTACAGTCACACTCTCAATTTAGCTTGGGTAATGAGTGAATACATGCCTATTCATATAAATTTTTTCAAAAACTCTCAACCATAAGTTAAACCCCCACTAATTTTCTCAAACTTTGCTCAACTTTAATTTTAATTTGTATAAAAATTGTTTGGCTAGACAAAATAAATACAGTAATTCCTTGATTGTAGATCCCATTTCCCCAATGCTCAATATTAATCATTAGGAGAACTGCACAATTTGAAACTTTACAAATTAAGCACCACAAAAAAAAAAACAAAACAAAACAAAAAACAGAAAAACACCTAGTTTCAGATTACATAGTAATTCACAGATTGACATAATTACCTCTCCAAGGGAAATTGGGTCAGGTCCACCTTCATCTGGACCACCAGGTTCACCAGGAGGGACTGTTATGATGGGCCCTGGAGGTCCTGGAGGTCCTTGAAGTCCTGGAGGGCCCTGAACACCTTGAGGACCATCTGGTCCATCAGCACCCTACTCACATAAAAATGGCTGCATTAAAACTGACAAATAAGTAATTGGTTCATAGAAGAGTACAGGGTACCCAAGCTTTCTATGCAAGGATAATATTATGCTATTTTAATCATTGTAGGGTTTTTCACAACTAATTATAGTAAAATTAGGTGAAAAGAAGCAGGCTAAAGATGGCAGACAAACCATTTTTGCTGGCTACTGCTACTCTCTTATTGAATGCTGTTCTCACAAAGTCCCTAAGCTCCCTATAAGAGGATAATTTTATAAAGCTTTGTAAGGGAGTTTAGGCTCTGCTCTGTAACTCCATAAATAATATAGCAAATAAACTCTAACCTTCAAAAAGGGTAGCTTTTGTTATTTTTGTTCTCTGGTAGTGATTTCAAGCCATTTTGTTGAGATTTAACTATTAGCTCTTATCCCACTTCTGCCTTCCTTCTTAATTAACAGGATGTGGTGGGACAAAAGCTCAGCGAAAACTTGACAAAGTGCCCTCAAAATCACTTTTCCAAGTTGTCATATGACTTCCTAAAAGTTGGAAAGTGGTTACCAGAAATAACATTTTGGTCCTTAAAAAAAACCATAACTTAAAAAAATTGATACTGACATTGACATCATTGTCCTCTTTATCATTATTTTTGGCAAAGATTTTTATAAGCTTAGAGCCTGAATTTTACAAATAATCTCTCTTTGTCGTCTTTGCTTGTACAGCTTTCCACTCTCCAGGCAAAAAAATTTTTAAGTTACTTATTCATCCTTTTTAAATAATACATGGGAAGCACTCCATACCGAATCCCCTCTCAGACCTCCTGGTCCTGCGTCTCCAGTAGGTCCTTGATCTCCCTAAAAAAATCAAAATAAATCATTGTTAATTTTGTGCATACATTATTAGCTTGCATATTTTCTAAGTCAATCAATTAATCCCAAGTAGGAAACCATTCAGGGACTGAAAAGGACACTCCAGATTCAGGCCTTGAGTTAACCACTTCACTCCTAAGATCATTTTTTCTCATATTTTCTCTGAGAATTTGGTATTACTTTAGACAATGTCGCTTGGTGTATGTTAAAGCAAACATTAAGTTCGTGAAAATAAAGGAAATTATTGCAAACTCAAGATTGAAGCAATTGATTATTAGACAAATTCCCCTTGTAAATACCATCGGAAATGTATAAACAAGAGTACTGAGAACTTGAATACTGATGTTAGGGCGTAAATGGTTCAACCGTAAAGGTTAACCAAAATACCTTCAATTCAAAGATTAGAGAATCTTTGAAGTGCACTCGTGAAAAGTTTTAATCTTTGAAAAACGCGAAATTGATCCTCACAAAGTTGATTATTATACCAGCTAGATACTACATATGTGTAAAGAATATAACATGCTAACACAAAATAGTCCTTGGAGCTAACTGAATGGCAAAATAATCCGCTAAATCTAAAGATTTCACCCAGTTAGACTCTATCCCAGAGCGACCATCATAACTTGCACAATTTAGATACACTGTAAGTAGTCTTATACAGCGTACTAAATCAGTTGAAGCTGCTGAACATGTGCCTGCATTCGCCGACGCAGAGAGTGGTCTTGCATTTATCAATGCGACTAAATATATTAACTCCGGAGTAGATTCACAGGTTATTAAAATCCAGCTACCTTATCTCCTTTCGGTCCAGGATCGCCAGGGGGCCCAATCTAAGAAAGATAAAATATTGAAATAAGACCAAAGGTTGCGAATGTTGGATGAAAAATTAGCAGGGAGTTAAATGGCATCCATTCAGGTATGTCCCGACTGTACCCGTAATATGTTGCAAAGTTGCTCACTAGAATGCCAAAAAGCTGCTTAAAAAAATTGCCTGAAAATTACAAAAGGTGCCATCCAAACTTCTCAAGTTGCTATCCAAATGTCCTGATATTTCTATATAAACGTTAATTGAAGGAGTCGGTCGTAATTATGGGCAAAATTTAAAGATTCGTTAATCTAATGGAACAAAACACATGAACCATGTGGCGTCCTACAGAACGTGACGTTGTTAACTGACAGGTTATGTGTTCAAAAGGTCGGTAGTCATTCAATAAATTTGCATAAATTGAGGCCTTTATGAAATCGTTGACTTTTTCGTATTTGATGTGTGCTCTAAACCTAGATTTTGTGAAAAGCTGCTCAAAGATGCCAGAATCGCCAAAAGTTGTTCCAAACACCTAAAGTTGCTTGAAAGTTGCCAGGCACAATGGAACAGGCCTACAAGCCATTCAGCAATCTTGGCTGTACGTATGAAAATCAATCTACCATATTTTCTCAATTAAACGCCCATGGCATTTATTTAAAAATTAATAGTTTGGACCTTGTGTTCTTTTGAGGCCGGCAATCAATAAAGGTCTGGCATTTAATTGAGAAAATATCGTATCTTTCCATCCAAGGAAAATTAATCTTTTCAACTATTGTTAAAAGAATTACTTTCAATATCTGAAGAGTATCCATTTGCAAGATCGTTTTTGTTTAGAGACAAAGATATTATGTATTGTGCTGAGGAGAAATGTCCATGTGGGTGTGTCTCTCTTAAGGCACTTAATGTTCCCCTGGATTTTTATTTTTTGGAAAAGAAGTGATTCGTATTCTTTGAGAAAAATATGAATTGGGAAATAGAGAGGAGGAAAAGTTTGGTTGTTAAACCAGTAGGTTTTAATCCTGTAAGAGAACATTATGGCATTTAGCAAACAGAAAAAAGTGAAACCACATGGACAAGATAATTTGTACAAATTTTTAAAGTATCTCTCCAACAGTACAACAATTAACTCATAGTTACCCTTTGAGGAGGTAATGGAGGCTGGTCAGCTGTACAAAGAAAGCAAAAAAAGCAAAACATGCATACAATTAGAGTCTTGTAAGTAAGAGAAAAATATACAAAGTTATAAACTTTTGTTGTGAAAGAAGCACTGGTGTTTAATTATTTGCGTATAGTATGCATGGGACAAAGTTTCTAATTAGAATTTATACCTTAGAGAAGAAAAAAGGCAATCCAAAGTGTTTGATGATGGTTTCAAATTGTCCTTATCCAAATCAGTAAGGTTTCCAAGTTATTAAAGGTTTAACCACATCAAAAAGAACGGAAAATAACAGAGAACTGTGCAAGTTTGTTTCAAACACCTCTTTCACAAATAGCATGCCTCAATGATACTCATTTATGTTGTCAAAATTGCATTTGTTTTTTAATCATAGCCTGACTGCTTGATTTCCAGCCATTTAAGCCTTTAACTCCCAAATTGATTTAAATGTAACTTCTCCCTTTAATATCCATGCATTACCCAACAAATAGGTAATGAGAATACTCAAACTTATCAGTTAGAAGATCTAACACCAAATTCTCAAACTTAATTTGCAAGGAAATGTGTAACAGCTGAAGGGGAAATTAAAAGAAGATTGTTGGTTAATAGGCATGCAGCCAGGTTACTGAGTTGTTTACAAAATGACACATCTATTATTATTATTATTATTATTATCATTATTATTATACTGTTCTTTTATTATTATTATTCCTCAGTCAAATTTTCGGAACATTTGAAGACAATCTTTGGAATCTAAAAATGCAAAAAGGAGTAAATTTTCATTCATACTTTATGACAGGAAAGATAAAAATTCCATCATTTCTTGACATATTTCTTAAAGCCCAAAGACCTCGCTGAGAGTAAGACCAACCTTGGCAAGCAGACTGCTTAATGTCTTCTATGACAGTGCCCAGGTCTGAGAAGTCAGCTGTGTAGACGTTGCTTCGGCTTCCAGCCATTTTTATCAACTCTGCTTCATCATAATTTTGTCCTACACCAATGGCAATTATAGTGGTCCCCTTTAATCTAAGTGTCCTTGATGCCTCCTCAATGGAGTCTGTGGCTTTGCCATCAGTGATGACTATGCAGACATTTGGTATGTCAGACCTATCTTTACTGCTTGTATAGATTTCTCTGGTGGCCAATGTAATGGCTTTCCCCGTGAATGTACCCCCTGAAGGGTATGGAATTTTGTCAATAGCCCTTTCAAGAGATGCTAAATTGAAGTAGCTATCTAACCCAAAGACTTTTTTAACATACTGGCTAGAAGAATAGATCACGGCACCAACATGGGTTTTGTCTTCTCCAATGTTGAATCCCCCTATGATTCTTTTCACAAAGTCCTTCACCTTCTTAAAATTCCCTTTTCCGGCCTGCTCGATACTTCCACTGCCATCAATCACGAAGCTCAAATCAAAATCTTTGTCACATGCTGTTGGTAAAACAAGCAACACACTCATCATTTCAGGGGGGATCAGCAAGTTGAGTCGCCTATTTAGCCAGAGCTTATCCTGGTTTTTGTCGCATGAAGTTCGCAGAAGTATTCCCAATCCCCCTGGATAGGATTTTCCATCCAGCCTTTAAATTGTCTGCTTGCCAAGGTGTGCAACCTCGTCATTCTCTTCTTTTAAAACTTTCAACATCATTGCATTAGAAGGTAGGCTGGTAACTTCCCACATGAGTACTGATCAGGGGTAGGGGGTCTTGATATGTCCCAAATCCCTTTCCCCCCGGTACGATAAATTTTTCTTGATTCAGTTACAAAAAAATCTTACACTTTGCAAAATACGCTATACGAAGAGAAGCGGTATGACCCAGTTCAAGAAAGATGTGTGGAATTCACTCTTGACCATAAACCTCCCCTCCCACCTCTTTGAAAAATCCTGGCGACGTCTCTGTTGCTACAGAATAAATTTGAAAGCGCCTCATTCAACATGCTTAGAGAGCTGCCATTTCTTTTAAGACAGTTGCCAGGCAGAAATTGCGATGCCTTAGCCAGGGGCAAATTTCCCATGCAGACAGGACACAAAGTTCTTGGCTAACCTAACCCATTCCGCTACATCAGTATGCATATTCTCCATACTGTTCTCCATAGCTCTCATAAGCTGCTAACAGGGAGAATTTTTATAACAATCAAGACCTTCTTTAGTTGGTGATTATTTCTTTTATTCTTGTAAACTCAAAGTGTGATTTATGGGAGATATCACATGGAGAAATTAGATGCTAGTCACTCTTAACGTTTAAAGGATTAATTCTGGTTACCAAGAAAAGTTCGGCTCATAGTGGTCTGTGATATCTTTCGTTGAAAAACATTAAGGAGCCATGGCTGATTTTGACGAGAATGAGTTGTGTAAAAGTTTTTTCGGTGCGCAAGAAACAACGAAGTCCTGCAGAATTAAATAAGCAGGATACTATTAAAACTCACGTACGAAAAGAAACATAATCCACGTGAAACATAAAATAGCTGTTTCTGTTAAATTTTCGCGACACGTTTGTTTCGAGATTCTGAGGGTGGCAAATAAGCTTTATTCCGCTTTATTCAAATATTGCGATTTTACGAAAGATTTCTCTTTTGAACCATTTAAATTAAGTATTTTTGGAAAGACAAAGTTTTTTGTCACCAGAAGATGTCTCATAATTTGTGCTTGAATAAAATGATACAATCATTTGAAAGTTACCATAATGGTGAGAGTGAAACGAATAGAAACACTGGAAGGAGCAGAAGTGAACAATATTTAAAAACAACATGTTACTTGGCCCTTTGTCTACACGTAATGAACGGTTGTCTGGGAATGATTCGTCTTTAATCAGTTGATTACAATATTCATATACAGACTGGAAATTCTTGAGGACTCTGAAGAAAGCTGGGATCGTTTAGAAACAAGTGTAACGAGTATGTTAACGAATGTGTTGATATAGGAGAGTTCTCATACAGTTGAGTTACTTTTATGTTCAACACTTATTCACATCACCTTATTTTTACAGAATTTAATCAATAAAAAGTGTGACTTCTGATTGGAAAACTATAAATACTGGCTTTTGCACTTCCCTCTCTTAGATAAATCTCAATTTCTACCGTTCAATGACGGACTGGTGTCTAGAAAACCAGAATTGTTTTTTTGCGTTCTTATAGTATAGATGTACTGAACTTTAAACTATCAATAATTGATTAACTTTTCTCGTATTCATGGGTTTATAAGTTTTATAGCCAACAACCCCTGTGAGGCAAATATTTCTGCAAATACAGCTCTTTTTAGACGAAATTGGATTGAAATTGGGTTTAAAAGTAATGTGAGGTTTTTACTTTATTCTAAAATTTAGAAATATGTAGGTGCAGCGAGTGTTTTTTTTTTACCAGGGACGCGCTGTTCTCAGTTTTTGTTGGCGACAGGAATCCATGATTCTGATGTAACACAATCAAACCAGTACTAGAACAATACTCCTTTCTCGAAATTTGTGAACCAAACTTAAAAATCGATCAAAAAGAAAAACAAACCCATATTGCGAAAGTACGTAGCACAAATTAAAAAAGAATTTCAAATCACTGGAACTCACATAATCGGGAAACGACATTATGAAATTGCTCGTCTTCACAAACTTTTGTAAAACTAGGATTCATGAATATAACAGCCTTCTGTCTGTTTTTTCCTAGCTGGAAATTTTTTTCTGGCTGAAAAAACACCTGACTGAAAGAACGTCGTAAGATTAACCCTAAGCAAATGAATTTCGTCTTGTTATTTGCTAGTATAATTCTCGTCGCGGTAACTTATAGATGTATAGTGAGTATTATTTTAAGGAGACAGTTTGCAGAAAATGCTCTATTGTTAAAACGCAAACCATTGCCGCCTGCTACACGTATCAATTGACCGTTTTGGATTGAGAATATTTATTCGCATTCTTTGTGAACCTAAAAGGCTTTGAAAACTGTTAAGAAACATTCCCTAGCGGGTATAATTTTCAGCATCTCGCTTTGAATTCGGAGCGATCGAATCTTGCACTTGACTATATTCTTTCGTGATAATTTTTCTATCGATTGCGTGAGTTGGATTTAACATATTAGCTCTTTGATACATAACTTGGCATTGAAGTTATGAACTTTACATTCGTTTAACCGTCTGTTGTCTAAACACTGGTCTCAATTTCGTCTCAGTGTTTATTATTTGAGCCCTATTCACTGTTTACAACTAATCATGGAACCTTTCGGCGACAGAGAGCAATTATAATGTATCCAACCCAACAATGCCTTTTGTTTCTTCATTTGTACTTGCGCTTGAAATAAGCTAACAGAAAAACCTCCCAAAGAAATGCATTCTGCACGTAAAAAAACCTTCGGAAAGCATATTTATCCCTTCCCTTTCCGCTTTTATTTTCGAAGCTGCAGAATCCATAATCAAAATTCCTCAATAGATTTTTGTTTTAATAAAAGCAGCCTTTGAGTGCGGAACTTACCGCATTGTATAATTACATTTGTAAAATAGGTAAATTTGGTGAAGTTTCCATAATTCACTCTCATAATTGTCCTCCTTGTCTTGTAGGGTTTTTAATGTAACTAGCAGTGGTTAAACAAAAAATATTTTCTTAGCTTTTAACAATCTAAGTGATAATTGCGAAGGTCAACCATTTCATAGCATTTCAGACACTCACTAAATGTTTAAGTCGCAGAAATGTGATGTGCATGCAAAGAGCTGTGTATCTACGAAGATGCATACTGTCGTAATTCCCAGCAAATGTTGTTTATTAAACCGGCTAACCTTACCTTCTTTTTCTCCATTTCCCTCTCCTTCTCCTCCTCCTTCTTCTTCGCCTCCAGGAGCGGTTGTTTGGGCGTCCACATCGTTTAGAAGACACACTATGAGGAGGAAATGCAGAATCAACGACAGGTTGCTTTTAGAGACCATGTTTGACAGACAGATCTCCCAGAGGATTCCTTCGTGGTGAAAATTGCTCGTTTACTGCATAACACACCAGCGAAGAGCCCGACAAAGACTCGTAACTTTCGGAAAAGACGAACTTCACCTAGTGAAACCTGCCTGCTGGTGAAACAGAATCTGCGGGCTCGGTGAAGGAATTGTGAGGCGCATTATGCGGCGATCAAATGTCTGCTACAGCAGCCTCTGAATGATGTATTGTTTTTCTGGCTTAGCTCGTGACACGAGAGATACAGAGAAACAGAAAATCCTCTATGTCGAACAATTGCGTGCTTTGAAACTGGGTACACGCAATGTCAAGGGTCAGTTGAAATTGAGATACTGTTCAATCTGAATGATCTCTTTGTCACGAAAGGAGATGATCAAGAACGGAGTGATAGGTATTGGGAAATTTTAAAACTTTTCGTGTAAACAGACTGAACATTACTGTATTCATACCGGATGCGTTGCACCAATGTGCTCTTAATGTACATTAGTTGTCGAGGTGTCTCTAACTTCACGTGTTTGAACGTTATTTAATCACGCGATGAAACTGCGTTTGTGAGCTTGTGAACTGTGTCGTTAAAATTCCTTTATACTGATCGGTGAAAGGCGTTTTATCTTGCTAAAATGACTCTGCAATGGAATCGATGTTTCTCTACTCTTTCACTCGCCCTGAGCAGAGTTTAATTTGAGGTTAACTCGATGTGATCACATTTTTCTCATTCCAGTTCGTTACCTGAGCAATCCTTAACATTTCCGGAATTGGAGATCCGTTTGACATAATATTAGGGACAGAAAATATCGAGAAAGAGTGTGCTGTTACTAGGATGACAACTTTCTTGTAGCTATCGGAAGTCTGCGCTGGCTTGCGTGACTTGTTTTGCGTAAGTGCAGAAGTTGTTTGCAAGGAGGCTCTCATTAGCGCTGCAGGACACGCCTTTCTCCGCCTACGGGAAGATTTGGAACGAGTCATCAGAGTTCGATAGAGGTTAGCAGGGGATCTGGGGCTGATAAACATTAGTGCTGGAACCCATACCCCTTGCAAACCTCTCGCCGGCCCGGCCCGGCCCGCGTAGCAGAAGGCTTTATATTTTCAAAGAAGCGCCCGTGCCGAAGCGCTAAGAATGAAGACCAGCTCGCAAGCCACTCTAGAAGGGTCGCGCATGTTTTTTTTCTAGAAGGTACGATTCCTTAATTTCCTTTTTGTTCTCAAAATTCGTTCTTGGTCAGCCCTTTAAAGTCAAGCAACACCTTGTGGCCACAAGTTATGGTCTTTGTTTCGAATACATCCACATTTATCTTTTAGACACTTCAACTTATTTAGTTTGGTTCGATCGTTTTGTGCAATCGAATCATTAATCTATTATTCACATTTATCAACTGTTTGTACGCCTTGCAGACCTGTGTGCCGCAATCCGGCGGGGAAACCTTGTGTTATTGGCTAAGTAAAGGTTCTAGAAAGTCTTAATAGGGCTGCACTTGTCCAGGAGCAAAATTGGGCTCGCCTGAACGTTTCATGTTCATCACAACCTTTATCACGGCGCATGTGCCATCGTTAGCAGTTCCTTGAGTCTCATTAGAGCACAGTCTGCCGTGAGACGAGCCTCGGGGTCTGGATCCCAACATTCTTGTACTGTCTGACAGAACGTTTTTAATCCCTATGTAATTGAAAGATAATAAATTATCAGTAAATACGATTGTTTAGTCATTTACAAATGATAAAGGATTTCCGGCCAAGTTCTAACTGCTACCAGAGCGGTACGATTTTATAAAAATTTCATGATCTTATTTGGCAGAGGGAGACCGGAAAGGAACAGTCAAAAAGCAAATTATTGGGGAGGGGAGGGTGATAGTGCTGGTGGATTTTGACACTCTGATCTAACTTTAATCCAAAGTGATGAAAAACGAAAGAAGAAAATGTCATTCTGCTATATGTAAAAGATGGCACCAAAATGTGGTCGACGGTTAACAAAAAATGACACACCAAGAGAATCATTTGTAAAAAATTCAAATTTGCCCCATAGCGGTAGAAATAATTCAAAGAGGAAGAATTGGGTTTCTTTACCTTGATCTTTAAATTGATCGAACGCTACATGTACTCTCAGTTATTAATTGTTTTTGTTTTTTTTTTTCAAAGTCTTTCCTTACAATGCTGTTCAAAGCAAAGAAAACAGTTTTAATTGTATAACGAAAGTCATCCGTATTTATTATAATAGATCACGGGAAATGACCAATCAGAACTCGCGTAATATTCAGTCCACTGAATAATTAACATATAGATTCCATGTCGCCGTGCGTTCGTTAAGTAATAGATCAGTACAGGCGTCAAAATAAGGTCAGAACTAAAAAGAGGCACAGGAGTGGGTAGCCGCGTGTATCACCGATGTGCTTGCCACATTTTGGCGTCCCTCGGTCATCTATAACTGTACAGACACACGTCAAAATGGAATCTACTTGTTTTAAATGATGAAAATGCAAAATGTTGTCAATGGTGACGTCATCTACGCCTCTGTCTTCTAACAGATAATGAGTAAAAGCCAATCGAAAAATTCGTGTGTACAAAATCAGCTTATCATACAAACATTGTTAGAGAGTAATATTACATTCTGTGATCAAACCTTACCTCGTGGCTAGTGCATGGAAATTGTGGCCTGCACTGCTTTAGGGCAACAACTTCAACCATAACACTCAATGTTGCATCGGAATCAACCACTTCCCCAAACGGTAGCTTATAGGAACCTGGGCTATGATCTGAAAGAAAATGGACCACAAGATTTCCTTTTGTTTTCGATAACAGTAAAAGAACCACGTGCAGTCAAACTCGGTTTGTAATTATACGAGTGATTCACATGCTCGGAGGACCGCGAAGCAGGAGTCTGACTTACTACTCACGAGAATGATCACGAACAGAGTTGGACGAAACAACGAGAACGAATGGCGCTAACTTTCAAATCACACAGGCATGACGCTTAAAATGTCCGCTTACATTTTCCAATTACAAGCATGGCTTGCGCGCTATCATATTAATAATGGTAATAGGACTAAGTGGAGTCCAATTCGGTCTGCAAACATAGGAGTGACTAAAAAAGCGGACGACCACTAATACTTAATAATGACAATAGGACTGAGTGAAGTTCAATTCGGTCTGTTATCATACGAACGATAAACAAAATCAGACAATTTCGAAGCAGGAGTCCGATTTGTCAATCACGAGTATGATTATAGACAGAATTGGACGACGTCACACAAAACAAATACATTTAGGACAAACATCTCCGGTACAGACAATGTCCTAAGTAAAAAATTCCTCCATTTTGAAAATTCCCTGGCTTTTTTCCTTTTTTTTTTTTTTTAGGATAAGTGGTTGTTGTTATGGTTATTGTGATCAATTCAGTGATTGGTGGAGTAAGTTGAATGGACCTAATATGATTGGCTGCTTTAACTGTCCGATTACAGGTATCCGATTACAGCCAACTGTCCAATAACACTGTTCGATTAAAACTGTGCAGAATGATTAGAGAAAAATAAAGCAGCTGATGCATCAATCACATTTGAGGAAATTGTAAAGGCTACGATTGGTGCTGAAATCGGGTTACTGACCGATAACACAGCCTGTACCAATCACTGAGCTGGGTCGTCGCCCGAGACCGCCATCTTGAAAATCGAGAACGGGACAAATATGCCCGAAGACAACATCGTTCTTAATTTTTTTTTTTCGATTTAGGAAAGAAAATTTACATGTTCAGCATAGGCTTGAAAAGTTACCTTACCTGCAACTGCGCACCGTGAAACAATCTCCCAAAGCACCAGTGCCATAGAATAGACATCCATTTGTTTAAAGGTTTCTGTGCTGTCCAGGTCAACCGTGGTTAACAGTTCCTCAGGGGACATGTACCTGTATGTGCCAACTTGCATCTGTCAAAGTCAGACGAGCAGCAATTTGTTCTGAGTTAGCAGGAATAACAAGATATTGTACATCTTTTTTCCTAGGAAGGCCCTGAGAACGAATTTAAGTACTATAAACTCTCTAAGAGACCCTCATCTTGAAATCTGAGCCACCCTCCCGTCTCTCGCCCATAAGCCCTCTCCTTTTCATTCCGTTCTCCTCAAAAACTACAAAATATAATATTTATTGCCATTTGTTAGGGTTTTGAAGTAGTCTCGTACCCAGACCTTCCATGGCCAAGTGGTTACAGTTGCACGGTAGGATCTGGGAAGGAGATTGCCTTGGTAGTTGGTACACTACGCGTGGAATGATGGGAGAGTCTTTTTACCCAAACATAACGCACTGCACCCCCAGTCGCCCTTCCTTCCGCCTTCAGGCACTCTTTAATAAACCTCCCTACCTTTTCGCTTCCATCTTCGATACAACCCAGAGACAAAGCCAAGCCAAAGTCGGAGATAACGCTGGTTCCATCTTTCCTCACCAAAATGTTCGTGCTTTTTAAATCCCGATGGGCGACAGCAACTTTCGCGCGACCATCGGGAAAGCTTTCCGATTGAAGAAAGGCAACTCCGTTTGTTATACCGCTGGCCAAGAAGATTGCTTCATTCCAACTCAGTGTTTTCTTCAGCAGATATTCTCGAAGTGAACCATTCTCGCAATAATCTATGGCTAACCAAAGTGGTTCGTCTTTTCCTCCCAGAAATTCATTGTAAATTAGCTTAGAAATATTTGGATGATCTCCAGATAATAACTCGTAGATGGCACGCTCTTTCTGCCAGGACAATTTGGTTGCCTCTAGATAAACCTTTACAGCAACAGGCTGTTCTTTAATGCGACCCTTCCAAACAGTAGAATATCTTCCTTGGGACAACACTTTCTCTAAGCTTACAAGCCCTCTCTCTCCCACATCTGTCATAGTTCTTTGAGCATCCAGTCCGGTCACAGAGGAAATTTCAACCAGGTCTGATAACTTTGAATCCACAGAATGGTTGCATTTACGAAGGCGATTTATCAGCCCTGCGATAAGAACTGATATCAGCACGGCAGTGACACTGATCCACGTTATTGTAGAGGTGTCTTTACTTGATTTCTTTTGTATCTCAGGTTCTGGCTTTCTTTCCTCTTTCTTTCTTGATAAAACTTTTGGATGAGTAAGATTCCCTAAATATAAAAAAAAAATTAAAAAAACCGAAGTGAGATTATTTTAGGGCTGAGGGCGTAAATCTGAAATGATAAACAAGTGCTCATCTTCACATCAGATTCTGGTGGCTATTTG